AACAAGTCCCCATTTTTACTGCATGAAACACCATTAGTTAAAAATTACACTTCAGGCTGATTTTCCCTCGAAAATAAACTTAAAACTTATTAGTTGCAGCAACTAGCTCTTCTGATGTTCCTGGTTCGTTCGCAGAATGGCCTGCATCGGGTACCACCTAAGCAAACAAGATATTCATTTAAAATCACGACATAGCTAGAAAGTAGAAGAGCAAGATCTCCCTCGAGCCATTCAAACAGAGAAGTTCTTACTCTAAAATCAGCCTCAGGCAGAGCCTTATGAAGATCCCATGCTGACATCATCGGGCAGCAGACATCATATCTTCCCTGTACGAGATATTCATATGTACGTGCGTATAGGTGTAAGAGAACGGAAAGGAAGAAGACGAACGTTTTCAATTTTTTATTTTATTTTATTTTTTTTTCCCATGTATGAAAATTAACGAGAAGCTTGGAAGATGGTAATTCTTCACACGTAAGATATTTTTGTATTAATTCAGTTTTTACATCCCATCACTTTCCTTCACAATCTACTTCAGTTTTTACATTCCATCACTTTCCTTCACAATCTACATAAACGAGCAAGAAATTTCAGTAAACAGACCTGCACAATTACAGTTTTTATGTGCTTTATTTTCTCAATATTGTCCAACAGGTATAAATCTGAAGGGAAAAATCCTCTGTTCACAAAGTAGTGGTTCTCCTTGCAAAAGCCTGCACACGAGATATAAATGAAAGGAAATAAAGAATGTCAATGGAAAACCATTATAGTTCTCTCTCTCTCTAGTAATTGCCTGATTTATCGCCAAAAAGGAGAAACCGTGATTATTTCTGTTTCTATACTATAGTATCTATATAAATAGAGATAGAATTTTAAGAAGTTGAATCCTTTTTATTCATATAAACATGAGAATCCAAACACTAACCAAGCAAAACTCGTCGTCAACTCCTCGTTTTATGTGTACTTCATTTGGCCGAAGATGAGCTGTCTCCAACTCCCATTTCGTCCATGCCCTAGCAGCTGAATACTAAATCAAAAAAAAA